AAGCATACTCCTTAAAAAGACAGGTAAGAATAGAGGCTGTGATGTTAAATATGTAAGTCAATCAGACACATCTTCAGAAAGCTGCTATGCATAAACATACTAAAGTCCAAAAGGCTGTTTTTAAAACAGAATTATTTTGTTCAGAAATAAGCCATTTCTTTCTTAATACGGGTGACTGAAATTATCACAGTCATTAAGATTATAACTAACTTCTGCTTACAGCCATAAATACTTATGGAGAAAGGAGGTTTTCTGAAACAGAACAAAAGTTCAAGAATTCCAGCCAGAATCTCCCACCTGATTTGAGCTTGGTGGGATGGGCACTCTGGCAAGTCCTCTTTGGTTTGGATCCAAAGCATAGCAAAAGGTCCACAGAGAATACATCTGAATTCAAATTCAGGTTCCTGGCTTTGCTGTACCTCATACGCTCCTCCAGCTCTACTATAATTGACATATTATCTTCTCTAGCCTAACATCTCCCAACGTGACCCCCAGAATATACAAACCTGTCTTTGCATCATTAACTTCAAGTAGCGGCAAAAACCAAGGGCATGCCCTTAAGTGTTTTAACTATGCTCACATACCACAGAGTCTCTACACAGGCATTACACCTCCTTCTCCTCTTCCTGCTCCTCACAAACCTACTTCATCTCCTTTAAACTCCTTCCTCTTCATGATTCTAGAAACATTTTTGAGAAATTTTCTTGGGTTCTCTTAATGTATTTTCTCTACCCTGTAATTCTTAATAGAACAAAATTGACATATGGGAAAGTGGCTTCTTGGTTTGGGTGTATCACCAAAAAAAGTCACAGAACACTGGAAAGTGGATAAAACTTAGGCTTATATGATTCGTGACATTAAAAACCAGGGAAATGTCCTCCTTTGCCAATCAGTGAGGCAAAACCACAAGTCAAAGTGAACCTCTCACTAAAAAAACTAACAGACTTAGAAATGTTTATTTTTTCGTATTCTGCTTTAGACAGTAAGTCTAAACTAAAGGTCTTAGTCTAAAACTGACCTCTAGTAAAAAAAGTTCACACTTTTTAACTATCTGGTAATACACTGGGTTTTGTTGTTCCACTTTCCCATTCTTCTTAAAAAATTAAATGATGGTTTGTAGTGAATTTTAGGAAATAAAAGGACAGTGACTCAGCAATTGAGAAAAATCCCTTGTTCTGTCTTTTTGCCTGGTAATTACTTTAAAGACAGATCTACTCCTCTGGAAAAAAAAAATTTAAAAACCCCTAGAAGTCAGCATTAAACTGCTTAATTAGCAGATTTTTCAGTTTTTACTTGAACTAATTTAATTTTTACCTGATCTGGCATCACCCTTAATTTTAATTTACTTTCCTTTTTTTACTTCTGGGAAGGTTCCCTCTGTCCCTGCCTTGCTTCCCTGTCACTCTGATGAATACTGAGACAAAGAAATCTTTCCTTTCCCAGAAATAACTGCCTCATCTGTTGCTAATTTCCATTCCCATCCCTTATGGAACACATGGCTCCTTTCTATGACCTCATGCTGTGTACACATTCATGAAATCTTAATTCCACCTTTTGCAAAAGTTTCCAATTCTGATAACAACTTTTCCATATCTGTTTTCTGTCTATTCTCATCTAGATAACACAAAAGAAATAAAAAATATTTTCACAAATCCTTTAAGCAAATCTGTTATATGGCTTATTGAATTAAAAAATGGCTTCTCGTTTTCTTTTCATCCCTTTTAGCTGTGCATTCATTTCCATAGCAACAAACTTACATGGTTTCCTTTGCTCAGGTTTTTTTTTTTTAATTTTGCTTCCTTCCTCATGGTTATGTGCTTTCTTCCTGACCCTTACATGAGCTATGCCTCTGCAGAGGCACACACCAAAGAAGTAACATGAGCAAACGTGCAATTAAATTTTCACGTCTCAACTGTTGGATCTAGCCACGGATTTACTCAAAACTTACAGTGGCCTGTAACTTAACGACCTTCTGTTGGACACTCTCATGATAAATAACTCCCAAGTGCACATGAATTTTTGGAATTGTATTTTCCCTTCGCATAATTTGCTCTTAGTTCAACACATTCCTGTGCTACAGTCTTAATTAAGAGAGCAGCACAAAACGATTCTGCAAATTCTCTGCACCAGAAACACTACACAAAAAGACACTGCATTTTTCCAACTTTCTACTTAGTATCTTCACATTTTAATTTAATCAAAACAATGCAAGTTAACTATTTTCTTAGAGAAACATGAAATTCCAAACTTCTATGTTAAAAATTGTAATACTTTACAGGCAGTTCCAGAAAACTCTCCCCTAAACAGAGCTTTATTTAATTAATGAGGAAGGCCTAGCAACTTGCATTAAAAAAAAAAGTCCACAGAAAGTCCTTGATGATGAAGTCTGCATGAAATTCCATAGCATTCAAAGATTGTATTTAGCATTATAAGGACCTAAAAATTGTGCTGCATATGGTGAAGATGACACGGCACTAATGTCTATTTAAATTATAGTAGTCTCTTCACAGAAATCTACCTTCAAGTACTGTTTCCTTTCTGCATTTCCCATGCCGACTTTGGCTTTTGGAAATTAACCTAGTTAAACATCACGGTGTTCCTCTTTTGCCTCATGTGAAACTCATGTGATTTTGAGTCTGAATTCTCATTTCAAGTGTAATCAGACATTTCATTTGGTGCCAAGGTAACTTAGCATTCAGGATCTCGCTCAAAGTTAAGATAGTTAATCTAACTTAACTACATGCAGCTAATAAAACCAACAGGTAAATCCTTCACATGAAAACGTGAAACAAGGCCACACAAATTCTAAATTATTTTATTTGAAGTTCGCACAGCCTATTTTTTGCACTAGGAAAGATGGACAGAATTTGTCACAAGAATTAGTTTCTCCTACTGTTGACTGAAAATGTGCAGTGTATTAAAATAAGTCTTAGTGAGTAATTAGGATCACCAGGTCAACTACACAATATTTCATGAGAAACTACACAATATTTCATGAGAATAAAGTTGCTACTCAGAAAATCAGTGCTCTTTTTCTTGCCACTCTCAGCAGCCTTGCTTGTTTTGCATATGGTTGCATGTTTAATTAGCAATCCTTCTGTAAGTGTCTGCAATTAGCACAAAGATGATTAATAAAATAAGTCCTTTAAAGCTCCATTTAGGCAGCAGAACTGCACAATCAGGTATAATTAATTCATCATTAATAAATCATGGCTGATTAACTAATCTGTTGATTACAAACACATTACTGCATACTCTCCCACCTGAGCTCTGGTGATTTTTCTATCCTGAACAGAAATAGAGACAAAGCAGTAGCAAACTATTCAAAAAAATGCATTAAGCAGCAAAGATGCTGGTTTGGTTAGGAAATTTAGATAGCATGTATATTTAAAATTTACTGGGCTTTGTTCATTATTAGTCCTCTTAAGTAAAAAAAAATAATTCTACTGTCATCTATTTGTTAAACGTATACGGGTGAACAATAATTGCTACTTTAGTTCATTTATATTCTTAAGGAATATTTGTTTTTCCAAAGCATCGCAGGTTATGGGCCAGATTCACTCTTTGCATAAGCCAGTAGGAAGTAGCAAATGCAGTAAAACAATCTTGCAGTATTGCTCTTCAAGAAGACCCAAGTCACTAGCCAGAAAGTGATCCATTTGCTTTGTGAGAAGGCAAGGTCACCATTGCTGTTAAACTGCCTCCATAACCATGTCTGGCATCTGGTCACGAGCCCATATTTATTAACCACATTTCATGTCGACGAACTTCAGCCAGATTGAATATGGAAGAACATGCATTTCCATTTGGAGATTCCTTTTGCTTGCCACCTAGCTCTTGATCTTTGTAGTGCATTTGAATCATGTTTTCGATACCCTCTGTGTGGTGGCAGGAGCTAGAAACTTCTGTTTCAAATGAATCCTAGGATTGTCACACTGTTACTTGCCTCTAGCTACTTGGACTTAAATAAGACGTAAGTTATGAGTTATGATAGGAAAATAGGGGAACTTGGCACAACTGAGCTCCTCATCATTTATCAAGGGCTGACATCCAGCTGTTCCCACAGGATGAAAATGCCTTTGAGTTCAAAATACTTCATTGCAAAGAAAAAGAACTAAAGTAAAGCTTAGGACAAAAGTGATTTGAAAGGGAAAACAAAGTTTTAGCTAGAGTGCCTGAAACAGGCCTCATAAATCCAGAGGAAGACCAGAACACTAAAGGAAAATGTGACAAAATCCGAAGCAGTACACTTCATGAAGAAAATTACAGAAGAAACTTTTAATTTAGGAGCAAATCTTCAGTCTTTGAAAAGTAAACGACATTGGTGTAACCAATGAAGTTTTCTTTCAGATTTTAGCCAGTTTTACATGGCTCATTACGTCAATCTCTTAAATCCTTCTGCTAAAACTTTAATTAAAAATATTGACTAAGGAGGAGTACTACAAGCCACTGCAATACCATTCATCTTTGAAAAATACTGTTCATAAAAGAGAACCATAAAACGCATTTTGAAACCATTTATATTTTTTTCATATTTTAATTCAAGTAGATTAATGAACTTAAGAGTGCCATTTCAATATATGGCAGAGAAAAGTTTTGTTTTTAAAGGACTGTAGTCAGATTTCACGGAAAATGACTGAATATGGAAAAAGTTTGATTATTTTATCAATCAGAAGAGTTTACAATTCAATCCAGGAAGGAAGAATGGTTTTTAACATGGAATCTGGAAATAAAGAAAGGAACAGTTTAAAAGCAGAAAAACAAGACAGCTGTCCTTGGGCATTTTCTGAGGTCAGTGTACATATGAAGTAGCAAGATGAAAGTGAAGAAAACAATAGCAAGGATCTTGAAGATTAGAAGTGAGCATTTTCAAGCAATTTTTAAAAATAGACAATAAGTAATCAAAGACTTGAGGACAGTGGTGATTCACTGCCTAGAGCTAAGATATAACCAGCATAATACAAATAATTTGAAGGTGTGGGAGGTTAGCGTCAATTTCTTCAGAAAGTCAGTTTTCCTTTTAATACAATAGCAATTTGCCCCGCAATGTCAACTCTTCCATCATTACGCAGTGAAATCTTCAACTCTCCTCCACGACGGGAACATTGAAAAGCTAAACGGAAACAAGAATCCACAGTTAAAAAGCTAGTATCTATCACAAATTATTTTAAAAATCCATGAAAACTCAGGGAAATGAGTCCTCTGTCTTCAGGGCAAGCACTGCACCAGGGACATTCGGGGTGAATTGTCTTTATGGATGAAGATTAGCTCAGGGTGAATCTCAGAACAGAACTTGTCTACAGAGTCTGACAAAAATGCTAGTTAATACAAGTAGCGAAGGATAGCTTGCCATGATGTAGCCAATCAAGTTTCTTTTGTATATATAAAGAAGTCTTGAATTCTCCCATTCATGGGATAGACAGTTTCTGTATGTAAGAAGGAAGAACAGCGAGTATTATCTGCGTAAGAATGAAGAACCACTTCACCGGTATTGAACATACGAAGTAGATACTAGGTTCAAAGACTCTGTTTGGCTAATGGGTAAATAAAGCTCAAGCAAGCAGTGGAAAAATTCTACAAACATAGATGCTGCTTCAGCTGACACAAACTGACACCAAATTCTTACACAGACGGGAACAGATACTGATTTATATTATACTGAATATATCATTTAATACAGCTAGATAAAGTTTAAGTGGAAATCGCCTTCCGCTTGTAAATAATTACAGAACTAAACTTTTGCCTAAACTGTTTAGCCATATACAGGTGGGACAATAATGCCCACTTGGCATGTTGAGCCTGTAGACTTGTTTCAGTAGTCCAATTTTAGTTGCACGACTACTTGGCCAGAAAATGGTCCGGTTCAGATAGCATTTAGCAAAGGTTTGAGTTTCATATCGTGTTGTTTTTGTAAAAGGCTGTAAACAGTTGAAGAGGCATTAAAGTTCACAGTCTCCTTACTCAATGAACTTCCAACTATGACAAAAGTTGTTCAAAGCTAAAGGGCATGTTTTTCCTCACAAACCCACAATTTGTAAATTGGGTAGAGATTGCATTCAGATCCCGACAGAGCATAGGATCTCTAACAGATGGCATATATACTGTATGCTTTAAAACAATTTCCCAGCCACAGCTGACAAGAAAGCTCTTCCTTGTAACAGGATATTAGATTATCAGACAAAGCAAACATTCCAAAACAGTGGAAAAAGGAGCTATATAAAGATTGATATTGATACTGTCTGCTCTTTTCCATCTATAGCACCACCAGTTATTGGTTTTAACTTGTCAGAACAACATCTATGTATGGAGTAATGCCTTCAGTTGAGTATTCTGGACTCTTAAAGATCCAGACCATGCTAAATTTGATCAATTATTATTGCCAAGTGTGGATACACAGCTAAACTCTCCCACTGCCTTGTGACATCAGATTTAAATAAAAGAGATTAATTATTTCAAATCTTCAGAGGTTGGTTGGGGTTGTGGCTTTTTTTCTTTAAATGTGGAACCAGTGCTGTTTGTTTCATGGCAGGATTACTGAGACTGTTTTGATATTGGTCCATTTTACTTCATTTTTAAAGAAACCTCCAAAGTAGAAGGAAAAAAACAAAACAAAAAAAAGAAAATTTTACCCAAGCTCATATGAAAACGATACTTGATCTTTTCTTTCTCTCACACAGAAGCACTGATATTTCACACTATGTCTGAAAGCAAACAGACCTGCATGGAACATTTCAGTAACTAGAGGATTTCATTTAATATCAGCGTCTCCAGAGACATTCAAGCATCTCTGATGTGCACTCACCTTTTGGATCACAAAGTTGTTGCACGTCCATTTCATGTCTGTATTTACTAGGAATATCTCATACTACATACACATTTTATACATATTTTTATAAAAACAAGTATGTACATTCTGATCTGTAGAAATAATACATAACAGCTGAATTCACAGTGCCCTGAATTCCTCTGTGATTAATCTGAGACAGAGGAAAGTTTAAGAGTAGGCACAAGGAGTGTGCGATTGAGCATGCTGATATCACAGAATCGCAGAATTATGCACCTCTGCATTCACAAGGCAGCCAATGGCCTTGTACTAATATTACCCTGTTGTTTTGAGAAGTTTCTTATCAGCCTAGATTTATCTAAATGACCATTGCTTACAGAATTTGAGGAGTAATGGATCTTCTTCATGATGTCATCATGACATCAACTCAGGAACAAGTGTCACCCTTGTAAAAATACCTATTTTTAGAAATCACTATTATTTTGGTCAAATTTCTAAACCCTATAAAAGGACCGATGAAAGCAGCACTTGTTCCTTAACTTAAGTGAAGTTAAGATCTCCAAGACTTTTTTTATTTTAAGAAAGAAGGTGGATAAATCCGGTGACTGATGGAGGGAAACACCTTTGGCAGAAATGTTACACTTGTGTACAAATCTCATTTGGTCAATTTATATGTTGAGATTACCTGGGAAAGATGAAAGCTTCAATTACAGCTCTGCAAAACTCCTCACTTCATGAGAATTCAAATTAGCAAAAACTTAAATACAGGTAGATTTATTCTACCCTAATAAAGCAACTTCTTCACAAAAAAAAAAAAAAGCAAGGAGACTGAAAAGTCAGAAGATGGGACAGACTTTGTATATCAAAGTAAGGTTTGGTTTTTGGGTTTGTTTTTTTTGGTTCCCCTCCCTGCCCCCAAAAAAACCCTCAAACACTATAAACCTGTTCTATACTGGGAAGGAATCAGAGAAGTTAAAGGCAGTAACAACCACCAAAATTTCCTCACAAATTAATACAGTTGTCTGAAGTAAACTGGTACAGAAAGATTCCTCTAGCTTCACCTGAGATTAAAAATTGTCCTGGATAAAGCCCCTTTTTTTCCCAATAATTTGGAAAGTCCTCTATAATCTGTTTGGTTATATCGAATTCCTTATGCATGTTTATAAATGTTATTTTAGAAATGTGAAAACTATGCGACGGGCTGGATACAGAGAAAGTTACTAAATATTGCATTCATTAGCAATTATGAAAACCTACACATCTGATATAAGAGATTATAATTTTTTTAATATTGCAGAAACTCTTCAAACGAAAAAAGGCAAGGTTTGATACTGAACTCTGATTTAACACTCAGCTTAAATTCAAGGACATGTATATAGTTTTAAGAAAGATCATAAAGTATTTCACCTTGTAAAAAGACTGGAAAATTCTCTTCATAGTTGACAGGGGTGGTGGTTGTTTGACAATTTGGTCTAATAAAAGTAGGACGAGAACCCAAACACAGGAAATTACATCTGATACTTCAGCAGAGATGTGGCTGACCTCCCAGAGGTCACAATATCCAGAGAGATCTCACAATAGATTTAATGTTCCTCATTTTTGTATTATTTCATATGTGCTCTATTTTAGAACTAACAGATCTTTCATTTTATGGAAGAAAATCTTCCTTTACTCTTGCATTAAAAGGTATCGGATATTACAGAAGCTACCGCAAAGGTTTCTAAAAAGTCAAAAGATGCTCTTATTTATTAATCTTTGGTGATATGGAAGCTTCTTGATTGCCAGCCATCCTTTCCAAATAATCTCTTTAGTAACAGAATTCCCCCCGGTACTACCTGATACTCCTCAGTCACATGCACACAAGGAAACATTATTTCTCATAAACACATGCAGAGACCAGATGTCAAATGAACTTGTTCTCTTTAAATCTATTTTGTATGATTTTTACCAGAAAAGAAGTTTGGGGACATATATGCATGACATATTAAAAAAAAAAAAAAAACAACACCAAAAAACACACACACAAACAGAAAACTATCTTGTGGGAAGAGAGAACTTTTTGTGTGTGTGTGTTAAACACATTAGAGAAGCTGATTACAGCATCAATTGCCTTTGCTGCTTGAGGTGGTTTCTCTAAAAGAGGAAATGGCCCAGTCCATAGAAAATACATGACAATGCAAAACAGGTAGAAAGTATCACTAAAAAATACAGACAGAAATCCTGCCTGATTGATTACTTAAAGAAGCAGTGTCTATAGATGGCATCGAAGAGTTTCAAATTCCACATTAACATCCAAAAATGTCAAAATCTTCTAAGAAACAGCCAGTCCACAAGCATGCATTAACAAACACGGTTTCCCCTCTTCAGAAAATACGTTGGGATTTTTTCCCCCAACATTATGGAAACTATCACAGATTTGTGTGCTGTAAATGCAAATACGAGACCTTCAGAGCAGAACGTTAAACTTTTCCATGATGGAGAACATCTCAGTCATTGTAGAGTACCATACTGAGCTATGGTGCGCAAACAGATCCTTTAAACACATTATGATTCTCAATATTCATTTGACCAAATACAGGAAGGCTTATATTTAAGGCAGCTGTTTGTTTGGAAAAGTGTTTACTTTAATGGACAAGGAACCTTATTAGATCAAGGATCCAACCTCTGTCCTAAACTAAATGTTATCAAACGCTTAATTGTTGTCAGGTGCATGAAAGAATTGTAATCCCCTGCCCCTTCTTAGGGAACCAGATAGGGACTAGGGTATTTTGTATTGCTTCTGTTGTTCTTCCATTCTCTGGCAAAGCACTAGAAACATGAGAAGTAGAGAGACACACAATGCCTCTTTATCTAGCGTTGTCAGGTATTAACAGTTTCTCTTGTTTTTTTCCACCAAGTTCTTCAGTTTCTTGCTTAACAACAAATATGTGATCTAATAAGCATATCTCATTGATTGAAAGAAGACCAATAAATCTCTTTGACTTCAGAGGTCCAGTCATCTCAGATTCGTTTAAGGTTTAATCATTTAAAAGTAAGACTGCAAATAAAATCACAAACAAATAAAATTTGCTAATGCCCACGTATCTTGTCCTCATTCTTACATATTTAAGGTCAGTCATGTTCTTTCTGTTCTTGTAACACAAGTGACTATTCTTCTTATATCTTTCCTTGCTATCATGTAAAAGATCACCATCCTGAGGAAAACTGATCTTCACACCTACATACACAGGTGTATCAGAAACCAGAAAAAATCTGTACCATAAAGCACATTCTGTAAGTAGAATCTGAATGTTAAAAATCCATTATCTCTTTTTATCTAGCCATAATAACAGTTTCCTAATGAAGTTAGGAAAGTTTCCTAGTGAAGTCACTGAAGGTATTAATCTGGAGTAATTCTGAAGAGAATTCCAAAATCAAGCAGAAACAGTATGACTTTTTACAGTCTTATCTTAACATACATGAGGGGAAAGGAAAACACTGCCCAAATTGTACTGAAAAGTATACATCATTAATGAAAACACCAATATCTGTTCCCAATACCCAAAATACAAGCCATAAAGACCAAGGAAGTAAAGCAAAATTCAATCAAAACATATAAACAACATAATCTGAAGTTCACCAAGCTTCAGGTTAGATGAAAGGTCATAAGAAATAAAATCCAAAAGCCGAGATCAAAAACTAACTGCAAAGAGTTACGATCCAGAAAGTCACACTTCAAACTCCCTGCAGGCATGAGGTGTCATGTTGGCGGGCAGGAAAGAAAGCAATTTCTTAAAGATTACCTCGCACACAAAATATTACATAATATTCTATTCATACTGAGAAAATGGATAGGGTGTTATCGATACAGTTTGGATTGTAGTAATAATATAACTTTTTCTTTCCTAGTGAGTAGCTTTTACGTAAATGGGCAGCTTTGCAAGAAAACAAAGAAAAGTTTCTCTTACCAAGCATTTCTTTCTTCCCTAGCTGCTCTGACCAGTAGCTGCTTAAAACAGCATGGGCAGATCCTTAAAAGAAATTAGAAAAGGAAGTACAGAATTAAATTAGAATCACTACTTCATAGAGCAAGCACATTCAAAATGTAAATGCCATAAACAAATCAAGTGCCATGTGTGTTTAGGGCAAAAACACCTAAGAGTTTATAGAGCAGATAGAACTTAAGGCTTTATCATTTCATTTATTTACAATAAAGCGGTATTACTTCCTCATCCTCTGGCTTCAATAGAAATCTTACCTAGGTGAGGGATTCATGATTAGCCACAATTGGCAGGAATAACAGCTACTGATCCCAATACTTGAGCCAAAGTACTCATCTGTTTATCAAAAGTTAAGTTTCCTAATAACAGAATCTCAAAATATTAAATTCAAAATATTATTCATCTGAATATGATGTTATTCAATGAAATATGAACAGCTACCCATCAAAAATATGATTAGGCATTTGGATTACTTTTAAAAACAGGAACAGGTGGATAGAAGTCACTGTGTAAAACAAAAGTATTTCCTCTCCTAACAGTTTTCACAACAAAACCTCAGGGTTTTTTCAGTCTTGAATGCTGGTAAGTATCAAGATGTAACTCAAGGAGAGCTTTAAGGGCCCACCACAGCTTCTGAAAACAAGTCCAATTTCTTGTTTCCTGACCAGCAGATGGCTTAAAAACTTAGGATGACTTCTCATATTCATAGCTAGAAACGTTACTTCAGTCTACATTAGCAGCTAGGGGCAAAGACACTCTGCTGGAAAACCTGCTATGAAGTAACTCTAATTATCAGGGCTCAAGGACACCAGGACACATAGCAGTATTAAGAAATCATTACAAAAGAAACGTAATACAAAGCCATAACACTGTTAAAAGTATACTTCAACAATACAATAAAAAGATTTGATTCTATAAAAGAAAGGACACTTAAAGATGGAAGACAAGCCACAGTGAGCTATAACAAGCCTAGAAAAACCTCAGAGATTTGGGAAACTTCTAGCTTTTCCTACAGTAAAATTTCCCTAGTCTTCCCAGAAATCCTAAGGAATGAGCTCTAGGAATAGATATATCTACCAGACTCTGTCCCTAGCTTTATCAAGAATGCAGGACTGAAGCTTAAGAAATAACTGAAACACATGGCTTGTATTTCTTTGTAAACCCTTTTTTCTGCTAGGAGTGTTAAATAACTAGCATTATTCCAAAGAAAGTCGTCTTTTTATTTAGCAAAACATTTAATGAGCATTTTTGACCAAATTCTCAGCTCACTAATAATTAACCTGTGATTAACTAGTACCTAAGCAAATAACATCACTCTGCAGCAATCCTCATCGCACCTACTGAGCGGAACATCAAAGGAACAGGCAGAGAACTAGCGTTCCTGCCCCTAAATATACAACTAGCTGAGCTTGTATTATTCATAGGCCTGAGAATAGCCACAGTAAGTGTCATGAAACTAGAGGAGATCTCAGCTGAAGGGCAAAAAAGCCCCACACAGAACACCAACAGAAGTGGATATCAACTTTTACTGCAATACTCATTCAACACCATGCTACTCTCTTGCTCTTCTCTCATTGGAATACTTCAAGGAAAAGAGCTGAAAAAGACACAGGAATATCTGGCCTGACAACAGCAAGAAGCTGATTTTTATTGAATGAGCTGGCGTCGGTCATGAAAGTTTTCAGTTTACTGAGCACACTCCTGCTATCCATATAAAACAGTAATTTATAAGAGAGACTCCAAAGTACAAAACCACATTCATGAAGTTTAATAAGAAACTTTTAATTGCACTGAAACAAGAGTAAGAGTTGCTTATCACACAAACACATACCTGTAACAGGGTCCTCTAGAACTCCATTCCAAGGCGCAAAATATCTGGAGTAAAAATCATGGTCTTTATGTTTTCCACTGGAATTTCCCTTAAGAGTGAGTATAAGCCCTTTCACCTTTCCTGTCTTTTCAGCTGACAAAAAGCCTTGTGCGCTCACTTGCAGTTCTTCCAACACAGACCTTGAATATAATTATAGAATTTTAATAGCCCATATTCTTCATTTTACATGAATTCAAGTATTGAAAAGAAACATAAAACTACAAAATCATCTTCTCTACAATCCCAAAACAACCACGGTAAAATGTTAGAGGAGACAAGATTCCTAGCATTGTCCCCCCAATGTCATCCGACAGAAGACTACCCTGAATATAATACATTCTGAGTCAGCAGAGGAAAAAAAGTTCAAGCCATGCATTTCCTATTTATTTCTGAAAACAGAGCATCCTGGAATATTAGCTACAAAAGAGCACACTTTTGTTTCAACATTTTAATCATTGAAAGAAATATTTCATCACTACAGAATACAAAGAGCAAGCACTCCACCTCCATTCAGAACAGGCAAATAACTAACATCAATAGATCTTCATGGGATTCTAAAGCACTCTACAACAGTCTCAAGTCTGTGACGTTGCAGATACCTCCCCACAAAATAAAGTCTGAAAAAGTAAAAATAGTAAGTACTCAGCTAAGGATATTTCTATCTCCCCACTAGCCCAATCTTTAAACATTAATTAGGCTAAACTTCAAGGGAAAATAATAGTAATTTGGCCTGATTAAAGAGTTGTGTTTCAGCAACATATATCCAAATCATACTTGACTTAACAATGAAATTCAGCTCTCTGAAATTAACAAATGCTTTGGAATAATTTGAATTGGAATTTCCTCTATAAAGCTACTTACGAAGCTGTTAAGTCAAATGGGAATAAGAATCCATGGCATTCTGTCAATGTGCTCTGTCTCACTAAGCGGACCTCTACTGCTACGCAACTATTACTTCTTCATTTGAGAAGCAAAACACCTAATTTCCTGCTAGGTTACTGGATCTTTTTTTTACTCAGATGGATGGGGAAAAATCCATCATCGTTAAAACAGTCTCCTACACCTCCTTTTCGTGGAGACAGATTTCAGATTGATCTTATTCAGTTTTGCAGGTTCAATAAGCTCACATTAGAAGATAAAATAACTGTTTAACACAGGAATTTAAAATAGAGTTTTTAATCTCCACCTGTTTTAAAACTAGAGAAAAGAACCTAGTATGTAAGGAATGGAGGCTGAACAAGCAGACTCAATTTCTGAACACTTGATTTAAAAAAAAAAAGTCTAATACACCTTTCATAAGCATCACTGAGGCGGACTAAGAGTTTCTTTGTGTCAGGAGAATAACGGAGATCTTGAACAATCATGTCACCAACAGCTGCCTGGTGGAAAAGTTAAAGGAGACAAAGAAAAATATCATCATTTGAACATGAAATATTATTTGCTTAACATTTTTGCAGAACAAGTTCCCTGCTAGAACAGGGCTTATGCAAGGCCTCTCATGCAGCCCTCAAGTACATGCAAGCAGGAAAAGTAAATGCACCGAGTGCATGAATGGATATGGGTAGGTGCTAAAAGCTCTGCATATGTCAACTTGGAAGAAATTCAAGGACCTAGAAGAGGGCAAGAACACCAGATTGCCCTCACAAGCATACAACAGGCTGAAAATGCCACTGAAATAAATATTGACACTCCAGTCAATGGTACCGGGAGACAAAAAGTTCAACTGCAGCATTTTGGAGAATCCCACTTCTGGAGCTGCATGACTCAGACCTTTAAAGTTTAGCGTTTCAAGTTCAGGACTACATCAAGCAATGCCATGTTGCCACTTTTTAGCCATTTTAATATACAAAAATAAGTATAGCTATTATAAAAGTGCTTCTAAGACCACATATAGATTCTTTTTTTACCTTTATTAACTCTTCTACTTCCTGAAGTACCTGAAGCAAAAAAAAAAAACACAACACACGACACTGTAAAAAAATAGAACATATATATGTACATATCTATCCAACTAGAGAGAGACAAATATACTTACATACACATACAAACATAAACACACACTTTCCTTGAAAGCCTTTAACGAATAAAATTTTGACTGACCTGTGGGTAGGTTAAGTAAAGGGGTAAGTCCAGGACAATATGATCTTCCGCTTGTCTGGCTTTTAATTCCCCACTCAGTGTCACAAATGTGAGAACTGAATTTGTGTTTTCTAGAGAGAGAACATTGCAACATTATCAAATGTAAGAATTTGAATCTAGATTATTATAGCTCTTAGAGTAGCTCAGTATATTCAGAAAAAGTTAGTTATGCAGCTAAAATATAACAACTACAGTAAACTTGTATTCCGAGACAAAATTCCCAACTAACTCAATAAATAATCTGCTGAGGTTAATAAACACAGCAATTGCCAGTGAATCTTTCCTGCACGTTCCTAGAACGAATGGGAATTTCCTTTTAACAGAAAGAGCAGTATTCCCTATTCATCAAATTGTACTGTACCTCTCCCAGATGACATTTATATATTTAGCACTTTTCTTAAGAGTAATAGTAGGGTATTGGCATCCAAGTGTAGGCATCAGACTACAACCTTATAATTACAGAGCAGTTGTAAAAGACAATACCTAAGGTATCTCCATATGTGTTCTCTAAATGTTCTGAATATTTAATTGCCTTTGTGGTAGAAAATAAAGATCTTCTTAATTAACTTTTTAGACAATTTACTTCTACAGTAATAAATAGCTTGTAAACATACTTTGTATGTGAAACAACACAGCAGCTGCTGCAAGCGTAGCATGACCACAGAGAGGAACTTCATTGGTTGGGGTGAACCATCTCAGTCCAAAGCAGGAACCTTGAAAACAAAGTTTATTTAGCATTATTAAGTGGAAGAAGTCTATTTCTTCAATTTATCTCAACACTTTATACAGAATTATGCCATTTCAGTTAATCAAAATGCATGTTGTAATCAGTCTTGGTCCTAAATGCGCTTTTAGGAACCTATTTCGTACTGATTTTTGGGATAGCTATTGCTTTTGAATCAGGACAACAGGAAGAGTCTACTACTAACAGAGGAAAGCTACTTTGTTACAAGAGCCAAGGAACTGCAGAGCAGAAATGCCTGACAGCCTGGGAACTAGGTCTGTGAACCAGAAGCATCCCAGAGAAGCACAGCTGACACCTTTGAAGTGCTGCTGGGTAGACAGAAACCGGAGACATGCCGAGATATTATTGGTAAGCACAAACCCAGCAAACTGTAACAGCAACTTACCACCTGAAAAGGTGAAAAATAGTCTGGAAAAAGGGGAAAACATCCCAAGAAAGTAAGAATCACTAACTGTCACTGGCTGTTACAACTGAAAGAACAGGAAAACAGTCTGGAAAAATAAAACTGGTCTGACAGAATAGAAAACATCATCATCTATTGGCTGTTCCAGGTGAAAAATAGAAATTAACAGAATCCATTGGGTTCTTGAAGTGGCAGTGTCCTACGTTCTCTTACACTCCTATGACATAAAAATCACTTAATTTTTACCCAAAATGGATCTTCTCTCTCTGGGAACTTTCTGTGCTGCATGTATTTTCCCCTTTCCTAAACAAGTTTGCACAAACTTTCTATGAGATCACAGACCCTTGCCAGGGACACACAGCTGACTCCCAACTCCATGACACAGATCATCTTTGAAACGAGACTCTGTTATTTTACTGGTCCCTCCCTGGGCCCACTTCTGGGCTCAGTTTGGTTTGTCCTTCCACTTCTGGGATGGCTGCATCCCCTTCTGCGATCTGTTTGTCCTCCCCTCTGGAATCTGTTTATGCGCTTGGTACCATATATACACATATAAGTAATCTATCATAAGTGTATCTACTGTTACATTATTGGTAAGTTTGATTATTGACTAGTGATAAGTTTGTAATAATCTGTAATATTATATATATACTTCTTGCTGCTATTATTGATTCCTGCTATACTATTGATCACTGATAATTTGTAATAGCTTGAGATACATATATATATTCACTTTACGCATCACAGGTATACTTGCTAGTGGTGATTTTTGTGGTATTTGCAGTAATCTGTAAAAAGGTACAGAATTTTGAAGATAAAGCCTCCCTGTCCTTGCATATTATGGAATCCTACGAAGTCACGGTCGCGATCTCTATGCACCTGCAGTCTGGATTATCCTTTAGGGGTTAAAGATAGTTTTGTTTGTATAATGGAACCTGTATCAGAGCTGGGTCAGTTATGAATTATTTTGCTTAAACCATCAGTCAAGTCTGGTAAAAGCCTCTAAAGTACACTAACCCTTCATTTCACTAGAAATTGTATTTCTATGTGTTCTTTAAAAAAATTGGAACCTAAGTGCACTACACTTGGTTTCCTGTAGATTTTGCAGAGTTCTTGCACCATGGCATTTAAGATAATGCTTATGAAAATATATTTCAAGTGAATAATTACCATACAGACACAACTAAAAAGTGCAAAAGAAACGATATGATTCTATGATTCTATGATATTTTAAAAAACACAAACAAGTCTTGTCATCGCCTCTGTGAAAAATCAGTGCATTAAAGTCAGTCTCCTATCTAATGAAAACAAATAGAATCCCACCAAAACCTAGTGGATGAAGCAAATGGCCACTGGAGAGAAGTGCTCTGAGACAGGGCAGACACAGAGCCCAGCTGTGAGCCTGCCCTGTGGTGTTAATGCACTCCCCCAAGTGGAAATGGTGGCTGAAAGCAGGAGGAACTGGAGTCAGGCATGACCGACCGGTGACAGACAAGCTCTCTGACCCAGAACACCTGCCTGGATGGCTGAGACATACAGCTGTATTCAGACCGAGAAGACATTTTGTATTCTCATAAATTAATGTATCCCTAAAGTAATGTATTTTTTTTTTAATTAAATGAAATGCACTAATCACAAACTCGTACTCCTGCAAAAATATACTCTTTTCCAGGAGCCCTTACTACACCAATTAATGTTCCAGAAGCAGATGACAGTCTCATAAATGAGATTCTGATGTTCCCAGTCTCCTCTTGCTCCCACCACCCCTCAATACACACACGCTCAGGTGTAGCTCAGTGACTAAATTCCTTTGAAAAAGCTGTGCACCTCTTCAGCAGCTGTGTGGGTCTGACGTCACAAACTCTAGTCCCATTAATATCAAAAGCACTTTAATGAGAAAAAAGCTAGCATTTTATATGCTGTTGGATATTGTCAACTTGAAAATAAATAAATGCATTAAACATATTGGCAAGGTGTTAACATGAAAAATGAAAAGTATTATCGCTTCTTGAAGCAACTAGTCCAACCCTAAAACAAATCCCAATTTATTAACAATATGAGTAAGCAATGATAGTTACTACTCTAAGAAAATCCTCTTCAATTACAGAGGCTGCAGAAAATTGGACTCCCTGATCAAACAATCAAATGATAAAGAACAGTTTCTTTGCATGCTGTTCTAGGGCCTCTTTCAGGCAGCCGATAACCCCAAAGTGGTTTATCCCTCTCTTCCACTATATTGTATTGAAGCGAGGGCATGCCAACGTGATACCTCAACGTGGAATCTAACGCCAGGCTAGTGCCGTTCCAGCCCCTTGGCTCATGCCACTATGTGGGAAAAGGTACAGGCGACAGATAACAAAGGACTAGCCAGAGGTAACGCGCGTGACTTCTAAGATCCTGCAAAACAGAAACTGAGGCCGACAGCCCCATGGGAAAAATTACAAGAATATGATAAACTACTTCAGAGTATTGAGAACATGAGAACCAAAGAGGTAGTTATGTAAATAGGACCCTTCTGCTGTTCCTTGTAATGCATATAAGGTAGAGTTAAGAAGCAAAAACGATTCTGATTCTGGTTAAGCACATCAGGGTCTGTGAAATCATTCACCACACCACTACACAACTGCAAAGTGAGCAGATTCAGCACACTGATTCAGCTGAAAACTAATCCACAAAGCGATTTTGAATGGGCTGTCTGACATGTCCTAACTCGTCTAGTGTCTCGCCATTTCCTCTCCCATCATGTATACATGCCCTACCAAACACCACCAGTGAAGTCCCTCCACTCAAACCAGTCAGACGAGCAGCCTAATGTGATTTGGGCAGCTTCAGATTTCCCAGTTTTGTTGGAAACATGTATTTTCCAGTATTGGCTCCACAGACAGCTTATGAGATTTTGTGACAAACAAGAATAATAGCTTAGTTACCCCAGTGATGATTTCCTGAACAGCCAAGCCAGATATTACTCACTTTGCAGTCTTGTGCATATGGAATAAGCATGTTCCATCACTGTTCCTCTGCTTGTATAGTAAGAAACCATCTCAGGAAATTATTAATAGTAAGGGACGTAATAATTGAAAGCTCTTTGCATAGCATTTTTAGGAGACTTTCTATATACAACTTGCTTATTTAGTAAAAGGCAGTAAAACAAATGGTCTAATTTATGAATAATAAATGTTTGTATATTGTAAAATGAATTTGATATAGAGCACAAATACTTTAAAGAAGTCATGCACAAAAGGTTTATTATTAGTGTCTTAAGAAAGATATACCACAACTCCAAGATTTTGCTTTGGCCATCTTACAACTTAGTACCATTCCTTATAAATGCACCCACAGCGTCTTCCTATTCCCTTGTAAGAGATTTTGGTGGGTAAACAGAACCACTCACTTTTGGTAAAGTCATCTCCAGGGTGCAGTTTTCTGATGAAAGCGGTTTCTGAAAGGTTCATTTCTGTTGCGATTTTCTGGTGCAAATCTTCATCCAAGTCCTAATGATGAAACAACAAATCCAATTAAAACAGGCTAAAAAACGCAGAATCAAATTTTCTGTCAAATAAATACAGTCATTTCATTTTCTATGATAATGAAATTCATTTTTAGTTCAAAATACTTTCTGAGAGTAAAAAAAACTTCAAGCATAAAATGGGATAACCCATTCAGTCGTTGTGATACCTGGGCATTTCTAATACCTGTTGTATTAGTTTACAAATTCTTGGAATACACAGAAAATACAATCCCCAAAAAAACGTAAACTCAGTCTTTCCATGAACATAAATCTTTTTTTTTAAAGTTATGATTAAGTCACACTGAGAAGTCATTATTAACATAATCTAAAAATAACTACAACTCTCTTTTATAACTCTGAAAAACCCATGCCAGCAAGAGGTATGTAGTAATGGCTAGGGCAACGGCCAAGACAGCTGATCAGTGCCTACAGCTGTACCCTTGATACTACCCTTTAAACAACAGGAACAATATGCCAAAGTCAGCAGAAGCTGAGAGGAGATAAACTGAAAAACAAACATGCTGGAGCTCACTACATTCTGCTCCAACTGCCTGCAGATTTAAACCAGGGAACATTCATCCCAGGATACAAGCACTGTAGGGGCTGTATAAAATTCTACTTCACCCTTGTTTCACTACTCGTTCCCCACTATTATGCTGAGTGGCCAGGTTTGAGAAACTGGTCTTTAAAATACTGAAACGCAAATTAAACAAAGTACTAAGTGGACCTGGTCAGGTTCAGCCTCTGAGAGAGAAAAATTTGCTCTGCTAACTTTACTTATTTCCCTTAAAAACTTTAATCCTTTCCAGCCAATGATCTCATACTACAGATATGAAACAATTACTGATGTGTATCATAGACCTGTATTTGCAGAGTCAATTCTATACAATGAAACAACATTCTAACTTTTTGCAGTAACAAGCGCCTCTCCTTTGTTCCAGGAAAATAGTTCTGTCAATTACTCTAAAGATACTAAACCAGAACAAAGACCAATCAAAATATTATTAAAAATAATAGAACTTTATTGAAATACTGCCATCCTGTGGCACTCCTGAAACACAGAAAGTGCTCGTTTTCCCAGTCTTGCATTACTCCCAACAGTTTTTGTAAAGTATCTGCTGAGTTTCTAAAGGGAACAGAGAAGAGAAATATTGCTGCTAGCTGCACCATACTTTCTTGGAGCTTAGAATGAAATTATGAATTAGAATCTCAGCTTTAACTTTGACACTAAAGCCTCCAGCCCCAGATACCATAGATAAAACTTTAGAATCTCTACATTCCAAAGGCAACATGCAAGTAAGTTGTCCTCACAATATATTAATATAATAAAGTCAAATTAACATAAAAATGCGATTAGAAGCTCATAGTTTTAAAATAAGTTCATTCTGAGGAGTATTTAGATTTTAGGAGGCCAAAAATACCTCTGAAGTGAGATGTTCTCAGTCATAACTTTAGCTGATCTGGTAAGTAGGCTATACTGTACGACACCTAGATAGGCTTAGGAACATCTAGAAAGTATCTGTGCTGTCAGTACAAGCTATTGCCATTGAATGCTCTACATATATTTTCATACTTATACTTCTCATCAAGTGTTACTATACAAATAATACAAAGTCTGTAAATTTCTAATCCAGTTTAATACCTAGTTTTTGGTAGAAATTGTCAACAGTGTACCAATTACAGATCACCTTGATGAGGAGGATGACTGCTGTTAATTGCACCAAACTACCATGCAACTTTGAAGCAATGAAAACTGAATGTTTAAACTTGGCTAAAGCTGAACCTGACGCGCTACTGGTGAAAGACTCAGATCCAGGTCTATATTCTCCCTCTTTCCTTCCATAGAAAGAGAAAAAATGAAAGAGGGGAAAAAAAAAAAAGAGGGAAAGAAAAACACAAAAAAAATCATACCAAAACCTACACTTCAACACTTCATTCAAAAACTATTAAGTATTGATTCGAGTTACTGCATTTCCTTTCAGAGATTCCATTCTGAATCCACCGGCTTAAGAAATTAAGCCTTTTTTTTTTTTTTTTGCTTAACTCAGAATAAAACCACTATATTCCTTTCTTAAAAAAATTTAAAAGCCACAAAAAATACGAGGCATGTCTTGTATGAAATCGTTCTGATGGAAGAAGAGTACGCTTATGCTAATTTCTCTGTATTCTGGAGCAACAGTAAACAACGCTTGCAAGCAGAACTCCTGAGTAAAGGAAGCAAAGTCTACTGCAGTGCTGAGTGCTAAGGTCAACTACAGAATGCTAAATGTCTCTGCAGTCCCTCATTAAATAGTTGGGGTTTTTTTAACTTACATTTTCAAGCAGACAAACTGCCGCGGGATTTCCAGAAAATGGCCGGTTTGTAAATGCATCAACCGTAAAAACAGGAATTTGCATTGTCCTTTACGCCTATTGAGTCTTAAGCGGTTTTCTGCAACGCACTTTCTATCGCGTTTTACCCCCAAACGACAGCAGAACTCCCAGTTAATGTTCTCCCAACGGCAGGAGGAGCCAGCAGCCCCTTACCCGTCACTTCCGAGGACGTACATGGACTCAGGCCTCCTTCCACACCCCCACCGCTCAGCACTGATTGTTTTCAGCTCTTTAAAGATTTTAACCCCCTTCTTGCATCGCTTGCTACCTCCTACCAGCTCCAGAACGCTCTAACGCGCCCTTCCACCGCAACGCCCGGCACAGCCTGTCCCTCGCTGAGGCGTTTAGGAAGGCAAGAGCTGTGCAGGGCTCTCCCTGCGTCCGGCCTGCCGCGGGTTTACCACAGCTGCAGAGCCGAGGGGACACAGGGAACCACTGCGGCCGCCCACACCGGACAACCTTCCCCATCCGCCCTCCTAAGCCTACACCGAGGGAGCCGGACACCCTGACCGACAGACGCTCGAGGGCACAACCGGCCGCCGACGCCTCTCTGAGGCGATGCCCGTGTGATCCACGGGCACCCGTTACAAGCACGCGCCGCGGGCAGCACCCGCTGAAGCGCCCGCGCGACCAGCTCAAAGCCCGCTTGGCGCCAAGCGAACAGAGGGCCCGCGTGACCGCAGGCCTAAGGCGCATGCGCTCCAGGGCCCCTCCGCGGTAGCTGTGAAAGGAATAGGCGGGAACTGCCCGCTCGCCGCGCAGCGCATGCGCCGTCGGTTCTTCTCCCCGGAGGTGCGCATGTGCCGGTGCCGCGGAGCGCAGCGTGGCTATCGCGATACTTGCGCAGTCGGGACGCCATCCTGCCCATCTTCGTTGCGTAGGTTTCGAGCCCACCGGCCGGTTGGAAGTGAGGAGGAGCTTCCTTCCCG